CTGTAGTGTGAGAGCAGCCAGAGGAGCCTGGAGTTGGGGAAGACAACATGGACAACAGCTTTTTTTCCTTCCTTTTTAAATAAAAGTATGTTTTTATTAATTTCAGAGAGAGGACAGGAGAGGGACAGAGGGATAGAAACACTGATTGGCTGCCTCCTGCCCGTCCCCTACCAGGTATTGAGCCCGAAACCTGGGCATGTGCCCTGACTGGGAATGGAACCTACAACCTCCTGGTGCAGTGGACGATATTCAACCAACTGAGCCACACTGGCCGGGCTGGACAACAGCTTTTGATCATGAAAACAAGCATAAGGGAGCAAATGTGGGAAGGAAAAAGGAGAGAACAGGTGAAGGGCAGCAGCTGTTTGAGGGTTAAGGATAGACACGGGAAAGCTAGGGTAGGAAGGACCAAAACTCAAACCTTCTTTGAGTTGTTGCAGGGATAATGGATCATTAGCTTTTTCTACCTTCCATACTTCTCCAATAACACCTCATTTTACACCAAGAAATGGAGGGTCAGGACAAGTCTTCCTAGTTTATTGGGAGGAAGCTGAGGCAGAGAGGAACTTGCAGTGGTAAGACGCACAGCTGAATTCTAAAGGAGCACTTTATTACATCGGCGGGCTGAAGGGGGCTCTCCCCAAATCGACAGCCCCGAGACTTCTTTGTTGCCCGCTTTTAAATGCACAAACTACAGAAAAAAACTATATTCTCTTGGTGCCACTTTTGGCACCATTAAGGGGCAGGTACTGATAGAAGGGGGCGAGAGGAGCTGTTAGGTCAGGGCAACCATTAATCTCTTTTTTCTCATGGTTCCTCGGAGTTTCCCAAGGCCTTCATTAACCCCTTATCTTTATAGTTTTTGGGTTTCTCAAGGCCTTTATATTTACAAAAAAAGAAACTGCCAGGGTGTATACGTGCAGTAACTGAGGGTCAGAACGGAGTTATTACACAGTAAGGTATCCGGTTGCGTGTTAGATAAAGTCCCGGCACCTGTTTCCAGATTCTGCTGCCAGTGGCACTTTCTACCTGCCCCCGTGCACCGCTTCCCCTGACCTTCGCAGAAGTGGTTTGTACCCAGAGGATCTTGCCTTTGCTAGGGCTGTCGAAGGCCAGGCTAAAGCACATGAGTGTGAGGAATACAGGTCTGGGTTTCACCCGCAGCAATGTAGACACAGACTGTTCATACAACAGAATCTACTGTATACTACAAGCGTGTCTACCATCTGTGTGTGTACTGACCCAGGTTTTCCCACGTAGTTAACACTAGAATTACAAAATTCCTTTACCTTCATCCCTGCAGAAAGCATATTTTTTTTCTCAAACAGAAATCTGGAACCTGTACTAAGAACCAGGACATGGAAATGTGGCTTATAGCTCTCTACCAAGTGGAAGTCCTAAAGAATTTTAGCCCGTTTCTTTTCTCTGGAACTCCAGTCAGTTCTCAAACTAGGTGTAATTATTTGTTTGTTTTCTCTCTTGAAATCATACCTGCACTGCACATGTCCGAGTGTCTAGCACCTGCTCCCCCGGAGTCCTGGAGAGAACACAGGACTGGAGCAGAGCCAGAGCCTAGACCCAGGGCTTCATCCCTTGGGAGAGCAGAGCTAGTCCTGCTTGAGCAATGCTATGCCAGCGACCCAGACAATGGGGTTTCTTTCCTTTTCCTTCCCTTTTCACCCAAGAATCCACTGGCTACTTTCTCCACATCAGGGAGTACTAGGGCCCCTTCCGAAACAAGGCCTCCCAAACCTGGGGCTGAGGGCTTCAACCACCCTCAGAGAAGATGCCTGGTCTCTCCTCTCTGGGCCTGCCCCTGGGGAACAGAGGCTGATCCGAACTAAGCAGCCAGATGATCCCACTTCTAACTCCTCATTCAGGGGGCACCCCCACTACAAAGAGTCCGGAGAGGGACAAGAATGTCATGATGGACATGAATTTATCCTTAGCAAGAAGAGAAGCTCAACATCAGGGCAACACTACAAAAGATATTAAGGGGCCCAGCTGGTGTGGCTCAGTGGTTGAGCGTTGACCCATGCACCAAGAGGTCATGAGTTCAATTCCCAGTCAGGGCACATGCCCAGGTTGTGGGCCCGATCCCCAGTGGGGGGCATGCAGGAGGCGGCCAATCGATGTTCTCTCTCCTTTCCTCTCTCTCTACAATCAATAAAGAAAAAATAAATAAAACAAAAGACATTAAGAGATCTATCCTCTGATGTTAACGATTCAAGCAATACTTACTCTAATTTCTGTTAGTTAGCCCTGGCCAGTTTGGCTCAGTGGTTAGTGTGTCAGCCCGCAGACCAGTGTGTCCCAGGTTTGGTTCCCGCTAAGGGCACATACCTTGGTTGCGGTTTGTCCCCGGCCTCGGTTGGGGTCATGTGGGTGGCAACCAGTCCATGTGCCTCTCTCGTATCGATGTTTCTCTCTCTCTCTCCCTCCTTTTCTCCCTCCTGTTCTATCTGAAGATGAATGCAAAAATGTCCTTGGGTGAGGATAAAAAGATGATAATTTCCGTTAGTTATATGAGGACAGTTTCCTATTTATATACTGACTGTTGCTGAATCTTGTGTTCATGACTGCTACTGCTTTAAGGGTGGAAGGGGAAGCAATGAAACCATTAGGTAAGGGCGTAAGTACAAATTCTAGGCCAGTTTAAGGAGTCTTACACCCTCATCCCTAGAAATACATTTCATCCTCGGGTAGTTTCCCGTATACTTTGGGTAAAATCACTCTCATGAGGACAAGCACTCAGAAGGGCCCCATGGGGCTGATTTGATAGATAAGGTTATTGAGGTATTTCTCAATACAATCTGGCCAAAGGTGTGACTCCAAAGAGAAACATGTTAATTCTGGAACAAGTCTTTTATTTAATTTTTAATTTTTAAAAATTTCGAGAGAGGAAGGTGGGAGTGGGGAGAGAGACAGAAACATCAATGTGAGAAACACAGTTGCCTCCTGCACGCACCCTGACCTGGGATAGAACCTACAACCTTTTGGTGTACGGGATAACGCTCCAACCAACTGAGCCACACTGGCCTGAGCTAATTTTTATTGATTGATTTGAGAGAGAGAAGAAAGGAGAGAAACATCAGTTTGTTGTTCCACTTATTTATGCAGCCATTGGTTGATTCCTGCATGCGCCCTGACCAGGGATTGAAAACACAACCTTGGTGTATGGGGATGACGCTCTAACCAATGAAGCTACCCGGCCAGGGCTGGAACAAGTCTTATTTAACAGTTTTATTTACCTACTGCTTAGCCTTCTTATTTTTCTTTTTCCTCTTAGCTTTCTTGTCCTTGCAGAAACAAAATGAATATATATAAGCAGATACGGAAGAGCCCTGGCTGGTGTGACTCAGCTGGTTGAGCGTCATCCCATGCAACAAGAGTCGCTGGTTCGATTCCAGGTCAGGGCACATGCCAGGTTGTGGGCTTGATTCCTGGTAGGGAGCATGCAGCTCCCTTTCTCTCTAAAATCAATACAAACATACTAAAAAAAAAAAGTCCTGACCAGTGAGGCTCAGTTGGTTGAGGGTGGTCCTGTGCACTGAGAGGTCGGGTCTGATTCCCAGTCAGAGCACATGCCCAGGTTGTGGGCTTGATGCCTGGTCAGGGTGCAGTCGATCAATGTTTCTCTGTCTCTCTCCCTTCCTCTCTATGTAAAAAAGTCAAATTAAAAAATTAAAAGAAAAAAGAATATGTGGAAGAAAACTTTCTACAGATTGAGGCTCACTTATCTAACTTTTCAAACGACCCCATTTTTCCTTCCGTGGTTAAGGAAGGACCCACATGACAGGAGTAGGGATGGAGGCCAGAGATGTAGGTGACTAAACTTCCTGGCTGACCAACTTTGTTTAATTTGTAACTGTTTGGAAAGGCCAATCCGCTGAAATCCTACCCCCTCACTGGTGAGGTTACTTTTTAGCAATGGTAAGTATGTTTAAACAGAACTCCCACTGAACACTTACCCTTTCCTCCAGGTAAAAGCAGCCATTCCTACTTGCAAAATCAAGACAATCACAGTTGCACATTTTCCCAAATCTTTGGCTGTATTGCAATGGTTGTTTCATTTTGTAATCTCCAACTAAACATTTCCTAACCATGAATTAACAATATAGTTACTGACTGGTTTCTTTTAACAGTATTTATCCAACATAACAAAATAAACTGCAATTTGTTATACTTTTTTTACAAAACATTTTATAAATATTTTTACAAAATGTATACAAAGCAATTTCAAGTGAGACATACTATACAAATGAAGGTATTTAAGCAAATAAAGCCCACACCACACTGACAGTGAGTGACGCGTCCTCTTTTAAGTAAAGTCAGTCTGTAAGGCCTCCCTAATCTAACAAAGTCTACTAAATTCTTCAGAGCTAAAATAGTTCTCTTTTCGTAATTGCCACTTTAAAATTTGCTTTATCTTTAGGCAGTACTTAAGGACACAGAAAATCAAATGCTTAATAACAAATACACACTTTTCCACAACAACAGAAAAAGAAAAAAAGAAAAAAAAGAAAAAGAAAAAGAAAATGATTTTTGTTACCGAGTACGAGGAGTTCTAAAACTTAACTGACTATGAACCTGAACAGTTGTGTTGGCCATCCGAGGCTGAGCCCGCCCGCGCCAGAGGGCTCCACATGCGGGTATGACCTCTGTGCGCGTAACCTAATCACAGGAGTAAAATACATTTTGCAATCTTCATTTGTCATTATCTAGAATCTTTCCTCCATAAAAAGTAAACTTACATACAAGGACACAGAAATTTACAAGTTTCATTTTGGTAAATTAGGCTCTCCATTTGATAGACAAACGATGGGGCTTAACAACCCTTTACGATGGTACCGAGCACAGCGAGGCCTGGGCGGCAGGGCAGGAGAGGGAGGAGGTGTGACAAACGCACACAAAGCTGATCTTGTCTCTTGAGAATTCCACTGATTCGCAGTAATTAATGTAATTCATCAGTAGCCTTTGCAAAGGCTTCCAGGTATAAAGTTCCACAATGAGGAGAATTTGATCAGGAGGGACCATCTTTAAGTCTTGCTAGGAATTAGGGGAGCATGAGCCCTAAGGGAAGAAGAGCCTGTGAAATCATGGGGTCCAGGGCAGGGTGCTACCCCAGGGCTGCCCAAACAGAAAGTTTCAACTGGCAACATCAACTTATCTTTCTAATATGTTACAATAAAGGAAAAAGGGGAAATCTGCAACTTGGACATTGGCACAAATAAGGAAAAAATGGTAACCCTAAAATGGCCCAGATTTTCCAGTTTCTGTTGGCTGGGGAGTGGGCGTGGGGAGAAGGTACTCTGCTTTTCTGAGGACTGGCTGTCTCACAGGGCTTGTTGGTGGGACAAAGGGGCAGGGAGATAGGTCTTCTGTTGCTGTGTTTTCTAGTTACCAGAAGCCTTCCTTTCCAGCACAGGGAAACCTGGAAAGGAAATGTCCAACATGATGGCAATGGGAGTCATCCCCATTCTGGGGACAGCCAGAAGCAGGTCCTGGCAACGTGTCAGAGTGGAGACCAGTGGGTGCACCAGAGTGGGAGACCAGGGGTCTCTGAAGCCAGAGACACACACGATAACCGAGAGCGTGCACACACACAGGAGGGAGCGCGGGGACTCGCTGCAACTACAATGACCTCTGGATCGAACAGCTCAGGCACATTCACACATACGTGTGTGATAGTACACAGCAAATACCGTAATGTAGCTTTCCCAAGGACAGGACATAACTGATGGTTACAATGACATTGAGAATGGAAGTAATAAGAGAAATAGGATGACCTGGGACAGGTACAGAAGAAAGGAAAACGGGGAAAGTTCCCTGAAAAGAAATATAAATAAATAAAGCAATAAGTCATGTTCACTAATATGAACATAGGCCAAACACAAACCATGACAGGGCATGTCCTTTGGCTCTCGAGTGGGAGTCCCCCGTCTCAGATCTCTTCATCCCACGGTGGGCTGGCCGGCTGCCTTTGGTTTGTCTGTGTTTTGGTAATGATTGCTGCCAGGGGTGCCTACTGCTTTCAGACAAGAAGCATGAACGAGGCCAAAGTCCCCTTAAGTTTTAAACTGAAAAATTACAACATAGTTTTCAAATGAAAGTGCTTTTGACGCCTGACTATTTGTTGTGGGAGAGGGTGCAAAGAGCGGTTAAATGAAACAAAATCCAGCAACAAACAAAAACGTACATCACATGTTGACTATATCCAATCATAAAATGCAAAACGCTTGTTTTTTTTTCTCAATAGTTAACATATATATGCTTTTACATATATACATATTACATTCCGCATGGCGCCACCCCGGCCTCCCCTGTCCACTGCGCACTCAGCTGGTTTCCATCTTCCTTCTTTGGCCTGGTGCAGGGACCTCAGGCCGTGCTGTTGCTCCGGGGAGCAGAGCACTGGATGGGGCCCAGCACACGCTGACACGCGTGAGGCTCTGCTCCAGGAGCGTGGGAAAAGCACGTGAACAATGAACAGGGAAGCCCTGCTCCTGCTCCAGCTGCCACCTCAGGGCTGTGGGGTCCCGCCCAGCGCCTGCAACTACTGCTCGGAGACGGCTGGGGGGCAACCATGGGTCTCCCCTCCAACAACAAAAAACCCAAAAAGCTAAAATTTGGAGATACAATGGGATATTCTTTAAAAAAGTAGCTTCTATCAGTCCTGTTTGATTTTCTTTAATAAGTCTGTTCTTTTCAAATGACTTATGATTGTCAGAATTTACTCAGGGCCAAGTGTACTATGATCTCATTGAGTTACAGTATTTAAAAAAAAATAAAACAAGTAAACAAACAAACAAAAAGACTAAAAGCACTTTCAGAACACTTGAAATGTGTAGGGCCTCTCAGACTGCTTTCGAACAAGGATTAACTTTACTAAAGGATCTCCCTGTAACCAGACGAGTATTGCTCTTAAACAGAGACCAGGACTGAGATTGGAAAGAATAACCTGTGATGAAAGACCAAGCAGGCTGGAGACAGGAGACGTTCCATTCGCTTTCGCCAGGAAAGACTGTAGCTTGTCCGGGGCGGTCTGGGCGAGGGGAAGGGAGGACTGCTGCTATTAACACTCTAGGATACTATTTACAGCTGCTTCTAAAATGGAGTCAGTTTCTACAACGCCTTCGCTGTGGTCCGGGATGAACTTTTCCAGGCAGTTTTCCTGCGAAGCCATTGGAGAGAAGTTGGGGAAATCTAGCTCAACAGAGCCGCTCATGGCGGGGTCACTCGGGGTCTGCCGCCCCGCCTTTTTGAGTTCCAAGATGTTCTTAAACGTTGTTTCCAAGCTCTTGGTGAGCTGGAGGTCCGGCTGGGGCTCACCTGACCCCTTCATGATGTCTGTGTGTAAAACTTCATTCTTTGGAGAATTCCTCAGAGTCTTGTCCTGGAAGGAATTGTTGCACGTCATCTCCAGGTGGGGGTCGCCGAGGCCGCCGGGGAGTTTGCTCTCCGCGCCGCGATCCGGGCGGGACGCGGCTTTGCGGGGCCCGTCGGGGCCGGCCGCGCACTGGCTGCCCTGCGCCGAGTCCCTCAGGCTGGTTTTCTCCGCCGCCGCGCCCGGGAACGGGGGCATGCCCACCCTGTCACACTTCAGGGCTCTGCCCAGGCATTCCGTTTTTTTAGAAATGTTTCCTTCCGCGGAGACCACGACGTGATTAGGCACTAGATGAAACTGGTCATGATTCACTGGCTCTGCTGTGCCGGGTTTGGCTCGGTCTCTGCTTGGGGCCTTGGCCGGCAGGTGGAGGGAGCTGGCTGCTTTGCTGCCATGCTGCTCGCTCTTGCCAAGCTGCGGCTCCTGGGCAGCTTCATCAGGTTTGAAGGAACAACAGAAATCAGCCTGAAAACCCTCTGGAAATGGGAACAGAAAGAACACGAATGAAGGAGAGAGTAAAGGCGACGCCACAGACCCTCTGGGTCAGGTGCAAAGCGCCCCGCCCCATGGAGACAGCTGCTGTGTCCAAGAAGCTGCAGAGGCACCACACTCGGGGGACATCCTGCAAGTGACCAAGGCTGTGGGCCACAGCTTCCCCACGAGCAGCTTAGACCTCTTTGCAAAGGTAGCTGCTTGATGACAGAGGAGAAAACCAGACGGGCAAAAAGCTCCACTCTGTCTTGCTCTCTTACTGTTATTTTTAGTTATTATCATTTTTAAAAAAATTAATGACTGCTTTGAAACAGTCTGAAAACAGAAATCACATGCTAGGATCAGCCTGGTCTCTCCCTGGGACCAGACAGCTCTAGGATGAGGCTCTGGCAGGGTGGGTGTGATGGACACACTCTCTGTGTTTGGGAGACGGCAGTTCAGTCCCTCTGCACACACCGAGGGGGCCTGCTAACTAGATGCACTTTGCCAGGAGTGCACTGTGAATGTCAGCACGCATCCAGAAGGATGTCTGCTTGGAAGGACAGTGGGGTTTGGAGGAACCATGTCTCTGAGCAAGCACTGAACTGGGCCAGTCTCGAAGAGCCAAGGACAATGGCAAGCGACATGGCAGTAAGGATTTAGGGGGTTGAGGGCGCAGAGGAAGAAGAGAGACTGTTGTTATTATGCAAGGGAAGAGAAAATGCTAACCCTGGAAGTAATGAAAATGAAATAGGGCTTTGATGACATCTGTAAAACCACAAACATAAATTTGTTCACCAAATCCCAAAACAGGAGGTCTAGGGGATATAGCACTGAACTCCAAAAGCAGATTCCATCGACAAAGAACCGGCTGTGCAGGCAGAGCAGAGGGGAAGGGAGCAGGTCCCTGCCCAGTCACACTCACGCCCGAGGAGTGACAAAGTAGGAGGGTTTCTCCACAAACCCAATTCACCAAAAAGCAATAGATTTCAGGTTCTAGGAAAAAAGGTCAGAAATCTATCCTACATTATTCTCTTCTTCTTTGGAAAGATTTGAGGATTCTCCTAGGTACATAGCAATTCTTTTGGACTCTCCCTTTACAGATTATATATTCTCTCTGGAAATTTCTTGAGCCACGCCAAGCACAAGGCAGAACCTTAATCTTTAAGTAACAGAAAAGACATTCATGGACTGAAGTGAAGCCACAGGAACATACAGTAATACTCAAACAATGCTGTTTTGTTCAACACTGTTTCTTTATATCATTGATGAGCAACAAATCCTGATTCCCTGCTGGGGTTACTGTCTCTGTGGAGTGTGCACGTTCTCCCCATGTCTGCGTGGGTTTTCTCCAGGGACTCTGGTTTCCTCCCACATCCCACAGATGTGCACGTGAGGTGAACTGAGTATCTACCCTGCCCGAGTGTGGACGGATGTGATGTGTCGTGTCTTGCCATGGAAGGGCCTCCAGTCCAGGGATGGAAAAAAAGTATCTTACTTGTTTTTATTAATCTTTCTTAAATATATGTATGGCTCACAATTTCACTGGATTCACAGTGCTAATCATTATACAGTGGAACCTCACCGTTCATATTTATTTCAACGTTTAATATTAGAAGTGTTTTAAGTCCTTATTTATAAGTTTGTTGATGTTTCTGTGACCAGAAATACAACTCTTGTTTATATCAATTAATCTATGGTAAAATTTGTTTCCTTAAAGTTGTTTTACATAAAATCGCAATTTCCAAGAAACTATAGACAACATTAAGTCAGAACTTACTGTAATAGTCCAATATAAGAGAGTGGACCAGCTAAAGTATCACAGTAATGCACTGAAATGTATTAAATGTATTTTGAAGTCTTTAGCAACATGACAAAACTTCAGATAGTTCAATGGAAGAAAACTAGAATGAAGTTATATCTAGCATATGGCACGATTATAACTATCTGTAAATGATGCATGCAACTGGGGACCAGAACTAGAAGAAAACTTGGAGAAAATCTATATTTTCATGAATTATTATAATGTTATTTGATTAAAACAATTATAGACACTAGAAAAAAGTAAAAAGAATTCATTTTAAAGGCAGGATGTAGGTCAAACCTAACATGTACATATACTCAGCAGGACCTGGTGGGGTGAGAGAGAAGGACTAATGGGAGCATTACAATTTCCCAGTTTGTGGGCAGGGACTGTGTTCTACGGATTTTTTTCCTCTAACAAATGCCATGTACATGGTAAGATAACCCAATAATTTGCTAAGGTTTAATTGCTTCGGGGAAGGCTTCTGACGTAATGTAGTTCTCAGATATTAGAGAATGACCGAGAAGTTTGAGTTTACAGTGGGGAAAAGAACTACTCTGAATGTAAAATTCCAGTTTGGATTTGTAGACTACAGACCTTCTCAGAGTATTCGTATCCCACTCTCAACTCTGGGTTTGTCCTCCCAGGATTCATGTTCTGCCTTCAGGTTTCGTACCGAAAGTGTGTTCAGACAGACCCCCAAAGGCCTACGGCCCTGGGCCAGGGCGGCAGTGCTCCTCCACCTTCACCAGCGTCTTACCAGGGTCCACAAGTGCCAGACGCTTGTCCCGGGACAGGGACGCTCTCTCCTCCTGGTTGAACATTCTGTCAATCATCACCATCTCAGCAGAGGGATTAATCCGCTGAAAAGGAGAATCCAGTTATTTCAGGTGCCTTTGAACAAGTGCAAACATCTCCCTGCATCTCAGGAACAACTGCTCCAATCAGAAATGAGAGTTTAATGTCTAAGTTCCAGTTGTGTCCCATCCCATTTAGTTTTCCTTGTCACATAGGATGTATTTTTTAAACTGTATTTTTTGGGAAAACATAGTTTACACATTGGTACTAAAGGGGATATGAAAAGTAAGCCTTTCTTCTTCGCCTCTCGGGTGCACCAACCTCGCCCCACCCGCAGTGTCTCTCCCTGGAGGCACCCCCATGCGTAGAGTTTAATACACCTGTCCAAAGATATACTATGTACATATACACATTTATGTTCTTGTTTTATTTTCTGCACACACAAATGTTCTGTACCTTTCTTTCTTTTTTTTTTTTTATCCTCACCCGAGGATATTTTTCCATTTTTTGTACAGATAGAGTGGGAGGGAGAGAGAGGAAGGGAGAGAGAGAGAGAGAAACATCGACGTGAAGGGACACATCGAGTGGCTGCCACCCGCATGACCAACCAGGGCCGGGGACAAACTGCAACCGAAGTACGTGCCCTTAGCGGGAACCGAACCACGGTCTCTCCGGACCGCAGGCCGACGCTCTAACCGCTGAGCCAAACTGGCCAGGGCCTGTACCTTTCTTATTTCCCCTTCTGCTAAATAACATGTTGGAAATCTTTTCATTAGAATGAACTTTTACTTTATACTCTGCTATGCTTTTTTTTTTTTTTTTTTAATTTTTTTTCTTTATTGATTTTAGAGAGAAAGGGAGAGGTAGGGGGAGGTAGAAACATTGATGAGAGAAAACATCGATTGGCCGCCTCCTGCATGCCCCCCACTAGGGACCTGGTCCATAACCTGGGCATGTGCCCTGACCGGAATCAAACCAGTGACCTCTTGGTGCCTGGGTCCGACGCTCAACCACTGAGCCACACCAGCCAGGCTATGCTTTGTTTTTATTAGGGCTTTCCTTAAAATTAAGTTTGTGCTGTACAGAATCAAATCTTTTTTTTTTAAAATATGTTTTTATATGATTTTTCTAGAGAGAGGAAGGGAAAGAGAAACATTGACGTGAGAGAAACATTGACTGGCTGCCTCCTGCACGCCCCCTACTGGAGATCGAGCCCAAAAACCCAGGCATGTGCCCTGACTGGAATTCAACTGGGACCTCTCAGTTCACGGGATGACGCTCAAATCCCTGAGTCACACCAGCTGGTCCAGAATCAAATCTTAAATTACATTTCTGGGTCTTACTTAAATGAAAACTCATGGTGGACACAATTTGACCAAATAAGCGATAGTCTTTTAAAAAATGATAGTCTTTTTGATGTCTCAGAGTTTTGTTTTAGAAATGGTTGTCCGTATAAGAACAATTATTTCAGACTTTGGAGGCATAATTTTAAGTAAAAAAAAAAATACACACACACGCACACACAGTCGGCCTTCGTTTATTGCGGTTAATCAGTTCCAGACTCTACCGCAATAAGTGAGTTTCCACAGAGTAGGAAGCCGCGAAAGTCGAAGCGCCAAGTGGCGAGGGTCAACTGTATATAAAAAACGAATCCTACTCTGTGGAAACTGACTTATTGCGGTAGAGTCTGGAACTGATTAACCGCGATAAACGAAGGCCGACTGTGTGTGCGTGTGTGTGTATTTAAGTAAGCACAAACACACACACCTACATGTTTATACTACACTGTGTATGTGTATAACGTAGTTCCACTAACCCCCTATGGTACATTTCCAAAGTTGATCTCAAACTGAAAACCACTGTAAGAGACCAATTTATAGGTTAAAGCCCATATGATTTTAGAACTGCTTCTAAAATCTCAGACTAGTTTTGGTCTTTCATTTCCTGAGATATCCTACTCTTTTCTCTTATTAACTAGTGCTTTAAAACCAATTTCAGTTCCTCTCTGAGGTGATGAGAATGTTCTGGAATTAGACCGTGATGATGGTTGTGCAATCTTATGTATACACTAAAACCATCAAGATGGATATTTTAAAATTAGGCATGAATTTATATCATGTTAATCAATTAAAATCAAGGTGAAACTAATTTGAACATCCGTCGTCACCTGGTCTTCTCAGAGGTGAACAGCCTTCCCTGGCAGTGCCCCTGCCCTACCTCCCTGGCTGGTGAGGCAGCACACGGCACCCGAGCGGACCAGGGCGTCGGGGGTCCTGGCCTGCATCCTGGCTCTGCTAATGGCCCTACAAACTTACCAGCTGCGTGATCCGGGGCGAACTACTTAACCGCAGCCCTAGCTCCTCACTTGGAGCAACCACAGCAGCACTGCTGGAGACGGAGCACAGAAGCGCAGTACATACAGGCTGCTGGTAGTAGCAGTAACAGTCAAGCATGAGATTTTCTACAAACTTAAATATCTGTGCCTTTTAAACTATGCTGGGGAAATGTAACTCCCTGAAGTTTTTCTCTCTGAATTAGTAGCTGTGACCTGTTGAGTTTTAGAAAACGAGCATGCGTGGTAGCGGAGCTGTACCATGGCATCTTCCAGGAGCAGGCATCGGTACTTGTTGAGCATAGCTTGGGTCCTTTTCAGGAGCTGAGTGGCAACTGTTTCGAATTCATTGTCAACTGTAAAAAGAGACAGAGACAGAAAACTGTAAGAGAGTGCAAATCACCTACTAGGTCTTACATTTCTCATGACTGAAATGCATTATTCTTCCATTGCTCAAACAAGTCATGTGTGTGACGATTTTCTCAGACGAGCGTTTCCGTGATTAAACGGCCCGCTTCTGCACTGATTCTCCTCTCTGTCCACTGGTATGTGACCATGGAATCTCATTTCAATACTAGCTTATATGAACTTTCATTACGAAACCAAAAACAGCCCAGTTGCTGTGGTTCAGTGGTTGAGCATTGACCCATGCACCAAGAGGTTGCTGGTTTGATTCTCGTTCAGGGCACATGCCCAATAAAGAAAATAATTTTTCTTTATTGATTTGAGAGAGAGAGGAAGGAAAAGGGAGAAAGATAGAAACATAGATGACAGAGAACATTGACTGGCTGCCTCCTGCGTGCTGAGGATTCGGCCCACAACCTGGGCATGTGCTCTGACCAGGAATCAAACTGACGACAAAATAATTATACTTGACAACAACAAAAAGAAACCAAAAACAGTACTTTTAACATCATCTATAAAAGAAAACCATATTACACAGACGAGCAACAAATATCAAGCCTCCACTCCCTTCAAATAGCATGAAAAACTAAAACAGTTGAAATAATGAAGTCCTACTGCCTGGACTGGGCAGACAGCTTTATCTAAAGACACAAACTAGTTCCTGATCTTGCAGGTCATGTGCTGTGGCTCTGTCCTTGTCTGCCGTCTCCAAAGGTCTCCCATTTTCTGTTTAACTCGTCTCAGAGTCATCACATCCCTGTTCAGTGCTGGATCTGGCCCTGTTCCCTGGACGTCCCGGGAAGCTCGCAGTGGACTGCGGAGACCACGGTCTCAGCTCTGCGGCCCCGGCGGGGCTGCGGGGCAGGAAAGCAGAGGAGGGAACTGACGGAGGCCAGGCTTGGGAATGGTGGTGGTGAGGAGGAGGAACTAAGCTGCACAGCGGGGAGAGGCGGCGGGGCCAGGCATGAGGAAAGGCTGAGTTTTAGGTCGGGATAGGAGTGCTTATCCTTAACTCTTTTTTTTCCCAGCGCCTAAACACAAGGGCTGTGCCTGAGTCGCTGTGTAGAATACCGAGTTTAGAGCGTCCCATCTACAGCCAGCCGGCAGCCCAAACAATATTTTACATTCATTGTCCCCAAATTTGTCCATAAAAGTCCCTGATGTTTGGGTATCCCTTCAAAGAATACTGAGAAGAATAAGTCACAGCCCTAAACAAGGACTGGGAAACAGAGTGAACTGGGAACGAGTCAGGTCTGTGATGAAAAACAACCTGGCTGCCATCTGGGGGCTAAGGGCTGTCGTTCTGTGGGGCGTCCGCAGAGGATGCCTGGTGTCCAAGTGGCCTGTGGGATGACAGCCTGTTTACCTTTCCTCAAGTCCTCCTCAGTGGGCATGGAGCCCTGGCACACGTGGTAGGAGAGCAGCCTCTGCACCGCGTCACTGAGTGACCGGAACTGACTTTTATCGGGCGTCACCGCGTGGGCTTGGTCCCTCTGTAACTGCTGGAGAATGCTGTAAAAGAGAAACAATGTTACTGGACAGTCATGTTAAGAAACGGAATCCTTTGCATGTGAAGAGAGTAAGACATTCAGGAATGTTATAATTCATAGCACAGCAGTTCTGGTTCTTCAGTTTCACACTTTGTATACCAGGGCGGGTTTAGAGTTTGGTCTAACCCGCTCCGCAGGGGACTCAAACTCAAACTCTGTCCCTGGCCTCAAAAACACTGTTCCCACCAACCATTCATGTGTTGGGCTCACACAGACCTGGGCATTGCCTGAGCATTGACCAACTCCGCTTATGCTAACATTCCTGTTCTGAATTAGTTTATCAAACTGCGCTTCTCCTCAGAGATGCTTAGGGCGACCAAAGGGTATGTGGTATGCTAAACCAGCAAAGACCTCATCTCCTTAGGAACAAGAGAGCAGGCAGTAGGCCCAAACAACATTTGAGGTGTGTATAGGTCCTAATGGAAACAAACTATAGGAAAAGATTTTCAAAGTATATTTTAAAAAATACTATATAGATCTGGCCGGTTTGGCTCAGCGGTTGGAGCGTCAGCCCGTGACAAAGTCTTGGGTTTGATTCCGGTCAAGGGCACATACCTCGGTTACAGTTTGGTCCCTCATCCTGGTTGGGGTCATGCGGGAGGCAGCCAATTTATGTGTCTCTCTCACATCGATGTTTCGCTCTCTCCCTCCCTCCCACTCTATCTGAAGATGGATGGAAAAATATCCTCAGGTGAGGATTTTAAAAAACACAACTATATATATTATTATAACCTGACTTCTGTTGTCTATGTATCGAAGGTTAGAGATTTTGAGAAATGTTCGAAATGAGTCAATTCCAAGGTCACTCACAAAGCTCCTTTCGTTAGTTGTTTTGTAGCAGGCCTCTTTTGTCCTCCCAGATGACCATCCACCTAAAGACAAAACACACCTCTTTAATTCCCTTTTGTTGAAAACATAAGCAGAATACAGTTACACATAAAGGTCCCTATGTTTTGAATACTTTCAACTCTCTAACAAGAGCATATTCGAAGAATGTAGATGTGACCTGCTAAAATGAGCAGGCACGCCCACAGACCCAGGCGGCGAAGCGCACTGCATCGGGCTTCCCGAAAGCGGCACTGTCAACTCCCTGGAAGGACTCAGCGTGGACCTTAAAGCCCGGATCCCCAACTCCCTCTCCAAATGCATCACTATATTTTTGAAGAAGTGCATTTGTGGGTACCAACTCCATGAACGTCTGAAAATGCAGTCGATATTACCTGATTCATCTTCTCAGTGGTAAACAAGGGAGCAAAACTTCTGAGCTCCTGCTTCATACAGAGAGGTGTGCAATCTACTAGGCATTTCTACATCACATTAAGGAAACACATGCGCCTACATCAGAACCTGAGAACTCGCCCAGATCCTTCAATGAGTGGTCCAGACAGGCTCAGACTATAACAAGTTTCATTAACTATTAATTGCTAAGCTTGATGGAGAAGAAACTAAGGTCCTAGTAAGCTGAAAACAACTTTTTTCTGTTCCTCTTTAGATTACTTGAGTTAAAAGACCATAGGGACTACACTTCATGCATTCCTGGTTGTTACTACAGAAAAAAAAAAATCTCTCAGTATATAACTAAGAGGAACAGATCCACTTTTGATATGATAGTAAGTAATATCATTCAACAGTAAACTACATTTTTTGAGTGTCTACTCTGTGTTGGCTGCTGATATTTTATTAATTCATGAAAAATGACAGCACTGTAAACATGTGAGATATAGAAGAGACACATTCATCCTTTAAATTTCAACATAACAAGGCTGGACCGCTGGGAAGGTCTCCAATGAGCACAGTTTTGTGGACACACAGGCAACTGGGCCAGCTGTGGAGACAATGCCAGGCTGCGACAACCAAGCAGAAGATAACAGCTGCATTTTCTTTCAATTATGCTAAACATTAGAAGAAGCTATGTAAACTCTGTCTACCTGCACAGTGGGCTGGCCAGGAGAGGATCCAACTACTTTCTCTTGCTGTGGTTGTGCAGTTCCTAAGGACGCTGGTATAACTTTGCCTCCAGAATCCTGCCCTATTAGAATTAACACATAAGAAAGACAATGCTCAACAGAAACAGTAAATCAGGCCCATCACATAACCCTAGAGTCCCATGCATGCAGGCTATGGAATATTCTGAAAGGGATTTCTTTCTCGTGGATGCTTGATGTGAGGAAGGACAGCAGGAAGTACATTATCTACAAAAGCTCTGGAGGCACAGGTAGGGATTATTAAAGCCCATTTAGGTAATAAGTAGAAATAAATAAATAAATTAATTAATTAATTCATTTAAAAAAGCTGTCAATACTACAGTTTCACATTATCTAAGGTCTGAGGAATCGGCCTCAATCTGTCAGTATTGCCAAACCCACAATACTCATAACTTAAGGAAAGGGAGGCCCAAACAGGGGACTGACTAGGAGTGTTCATGCAGGTGTTCGAAGCTTTAGAAAATATGGAGATACAGGTCACAATATTTTTAGTCTCAGGGGATTCTAAATATACATATCTAAGATAACATGAGGACACTCACAAAGCCACCTGTGCCATATAATATTAGATTTTGTTTCTGAACAGCACATTTTTTTCACATAATGTATCATAATTTAATTAGAAGCATGTTTCCCTTGCTTAGCAGTATATAAAATGATGCTACAGATGCAACGGGAAAGGATGCTCAGAGCGGAGTGAGGTTGAGTCAGAAAGGCTGCATGCAGAAGGGGACGTGAGAAGTGTCCTTGGTGTCGGGAGGACGGGGATGAACTGGGGGGCTTACGACGGTCCTGACCTGGCAGTGCGGAGCTCGAGAGGCCAGGAATCTGTGCTTGCCTCAGGCCGTCTGGGGTCTTGGAAGCAGAAATGGGGGAAGTCTGATTCAAACATTTTTTCTGAGCCTGTAAAAAACATTACCAAGATGGAAAAGATAATTTCATGATTAAAAGCTTTAACAGATTACTTAAAATGCCAACCAAGCCCATAGTGCCTACCTGGCATCGCCTTCAGGTTCGAGTACAAAACAAAACGAAAGCTCTGAAACAGTCTCCGGTCACACCGGGAGACGGGCAGTAGTACCCTTTAAACCTGCAGGCACGCTGTGTTTTGCAGACACTGTTCAGCAGGAGCCGAACAGAAACCAGACTGCTTCCTTCTCACGGAATTGTGCTCGTGAGCTCAAACACAAAGCTGAGCCGGGAACTCGGTTTCTCTCCGCGGTAATTTTATAGCAGACCTGCGAGGATTATGACCCCGACGATCAGTCTGTACGAGGTGTCTGCACTGGCTCCGAGCACCTGCCAGGGCCAAGCGCCAACCCCGGATCCACTGCCGCCACTCACGGTTTCTTCCGCGTAGGTGATCTAACTACTTACACTCCTGCCATCTGCTCTGTCTCTAGTTTGCCTCATATCAATATCAAGTGGCATGTAACTGGGAAATGTAAACTCAACTGAACATGAGCCTAAGAAATAGCATGAGAAAAATTAATCTGATATTTATTATTTTTTGTTAATTCTCAGCTGAGGATGTTTTTCTTTCTTTTTTATTGTTGAAAGTATTACAGATGTTCCCCTTTGATCCCCATTGACCCCCTCCTTCTCGCTCCCATCCCCCTCCTGCCTTCCCCAGACTGGTGTCCCTGTGGATGGGTTGTTCATATATGCATATAAGTTCTTTGGATATATATATATATATTTTTTAATCCTCACCCGAGGATATTTTTCCATTTTTTGTACAGATAGAGTGGGAGGGAGAGAGAGAGAGAAACATCGACGTGAAGGGACACATCGAGTGGCTGCCACTCGCACGACCAACCAGGGCCGGGGACAAACTGCAACCAAAGTAGTGCCCTTAGCGGGAACCGAACCCGGGTCTCTCTGGATCGCAGGCCGACGCTCTAACCGCTGAACCAAACTGGCCAGGGCAATATAAGTTCTTTGGTTTATCTCTTCCCACTCTTCTCACCCCCCATCCCTCTAGAGTTTGTCAGTCTGTTCCCTACTTCCATGATTCTGGATGTTTTTGGTTGACAGCTTATTTTTTTCATTATGTTCCACAAATAAGTGATATTTTCCCATTGATTTTTAGATAGAGTAGAAGGGAGGGAGAGACACAGAGAGAGAGAAACATCGATGTGAGAGAGATACATCAATTGGTTGCCCCCTGCATGACCCGGACTGGGGCCAAGGATAGAACGTGCCACCCAGGTTGCCCTTGACTGGGAATAGAACCTGAGACCCCTCAGTCCACAGGCCGATGCTCTAACCGCTGAGCCAAACCAGCCAGGGCTAAAGGGCTTTACAATACTTTCAATTTGTAATGCTACTTCCTAATGCCTTAGGTTTTCAGAGCCTTTTCTTCAACCCCCCTGCTCTATCTGAAGATAAGTGCAAAAACATCCTCAGTGAGGGTAAAAAAAGAAAGAAAGAAAGTCCCGAGGGGCCAATTCTCCAGTTGTCAAGCATTCCCCCAGAGTAACTCCGCACTCTCCCACTACAGGGAATCTCTTCATTCGGAGGACGCCGGTGTGGAGAGGCCTGGGACAAATGGTGAGCACAGGCCTTCCTCACAAATATTTCCAGGGATGAACACTAAGGGCCACTTTGAAGAAGAAACAAAACATTTGAAAGTTGGAAAATGCCATTCTGTAGGACAAGTCCTCACACTAGGTGGGACTCTTGAGATAATGAGACCAACAGATAAACAGAAAAACCAGAATTAATGCTCAAATGACTGAAGTCCTTACAGCAATGTGGCCAGCACACTCCTTTGGAATCCCTTCACTGCGCCTCGTCCACATGGCACAGGTGAACACAGCCTTACGCTGCAGAGAGAGCACACGCCTTTCGTTTGGAGAAAATGATCTCCCACCTTATTTATCAGACATGACCTGGAATGACTCTTAGCTGTTAAACAGACAAATAAAACAAAACCCATGCATATGTTAAGTAGTAAAACTATAAAGAAAAGCAAGGAAGAGATCTCCATAAAAGTCAGGAGAGGGGCTGAGACTGGGGAGGCACACGGAGGTGGTGGATCCTGGGGGTACTGGTAATATTGTATTTTTTGAGTGGTAACATGGACAGGTATTTGCTTTATACTTATTAACTGTACCTTTATATTTTATGCATATTTTTCTAAATGTGTTATATTTCACAATACAGAAGAGTAAAAAGAAAAAAAACAAGAACAATCTAATCTAAAGCCAAAGCAAGAAACTTTGCCATCATTTGAAGGTACAGAGCACTGTCATGTCTGAGAACATGGTTAGATCTGCAGAGGGCATGCCTCCCTTTGGCGCGTGTTGGGTAAGTGTCTGACAGTCCCCTGCTGGCTGTGTGGGGCTGAGCACTGGCACCTGTGAGTGTTCATCCTCTGATGCCTATGTTCCTCAACGCAGCCTTTCCCTTGGGGTAAAACAGTGGATCCAGTTGTTACGCTGTGTGGGGAATGGAAAGGGTGGGGGTGGGGTGGGTAGGGCCAGGGTGGTGGCAGAATCGGAATCCACTGGGGAACTTGGTCTGGCCCCTACAGTAGAATCGCCTTGATTCCCAGGTCTGCACGTTTGGAAACCTCTGCTCTGTCTCCACAAGTGCACTGGCTGCTCCCAGTCCACTGATTTTTAGGGCAGCACTTTTGTCTGTCTGGTTCACTGCTGTATCCCCAGCACCAGAACAGGGCCTGACACCACAGTGAGCACTCAGTAAACAGTTATTAAATAAAAGTGAGTGGGAACATTTGAGATCTTGTATCTTGGCATAAGCCATCAGTTTGGCTCAAATAAACTCTTATAAGAATTCTCTCTTAAAAAAAAAAAGAAAAAGAGTGAACGTGGCAGCTCTCTCCAGTGTGCCTGTTCCTTTCTCTTCCCCCTCTTCTTACCCCCAGGCACGTCTCCTTTGCCTTTCTCTCTCCTAAACTCTAAAGACCCTTATTTTGCCTAACTTATTTTCTGAGCCCACACAGCCCTGCTGGCTCACCCTTTTAACCTCTGTGAGTTTCTAAATAAACTTTCTCTTATAACTGGAAAAAAGTAACGAGTGAATGAATTTCACTGCAGCAGAAGTCACAGGGGCCTGTCCCTCCTCCTGGTCCAGCTCTCCTCTCCCCAGGAGCCATCAACTTTCTTCTGTTCTCAGCTTTCTCCTATTCCTATGCCCACAGATGAAAATCTTCCAGAAATAACATTTATCGTTCTGTTGTTTTTACTGAACTCTTAGAGAGGACCTGCTCTTGAAATGTATTTTCTTCACAAATAGAGAAACTATTTAAGGATATTTGGTTGAGCTCTTGGCTCCAAACTCTTCCAATATCAATGTACAATTTTAACTCTTCAGACCCCATGAACTATCATGAAACCATAAATCAGAATATTTAATACGTCGATTTCTACCTCTGTGGTACACTTTGAAAGAAGTCAATTACAAATTAGACAGATGACCCAAGCAAAAGATTGGTCATCAATACATCCTTTGAATTGATTTATGACCAAAATGGGAAACTGTGAACAAAAAAGGAGTACTGGAAAGTATCCGTGCAGGGTGATCTGATCATAACTTCCTGACTGGAAAGGTCATGGTGGGTAGCCACACGCCAGGCTTATAACTTTTTAGTAAAAGATTTATCTTTGCCTTAAGTAAGCCCTGTTCACTGTTTCTGCGCATCTAGGTTAACACACATTTGAAATAAGCCATAGCAACCCTCAAGAGAGCACATCATCTGGTTAACTGTCCTGTAATCCAATCCCAGCCTAGCTTTCTCCCACCTCCATGCTCTTTCTTACATTCCTCCTTAATCTCAAATGCATTAAAAAAGTTGCAAAACTGTTATTTTTAGAAGCATCTGAGATCTTGCTCCTGGCATATTTCAATTTGACTCAAATAAACTCTTGTGAAAATTAAAAACAAACAAACAAACAAACAACAAATTAGCAAGATGACAGTTATGCAACAACAGGCATTTGCTGAATGAGGAAGACCATTTGAGATCTGCCCAACCATACTCTCCTCTGGGAAATGTCCCATTGCCACAGAAATGTGTCAGAGCCAGCAAGGTTGGAGAACATACAAAGGTGTGTGGCCTGCCAGAGAATGTAAGGAGCTAAAATCCAGGAGAGGAGCACCTGCTCCCCGCCCATCTAATAGTGCCAAGCCTGTCTGTCAGTGGAGCATAGGGGTGTCTTTTGTTTTCTGGCTCAGAGGGAACAAAGGTCTGCAAGAGCAGCAGAGACCCTGCATGGCCACTTACTGATGTCACCCACAGCCCTCTCCTCTGACCATGGAGGTGCCAATCAGACACTCTCCTGGGACCTCAGAATGGGTGGGGGGAGTAAATACCTAAGGGTAGTGGCTCCTTAATGCAGGTTTATAGACTGATTGTATCAAGACCACCTGGAGAGCTTCTGAAAGACTAATTTTCTAGGTTCCAACCACAAAAATTGATCCAGAAATCCATTGTGGGGCTTAGAAATGTATACGTTTAAAAAGCTCTCAAGGTGACTCTGATGCATTTGTAGTCTCTGTTACATGCTTGGATAATAATGCAGAGCGGGCTTGGGGTGGCCATTTTGGTCCAGGAGAAGAGCGAGAGAGAACAATGAAGGACAGACAAGAGGCCCTGCCATCTTGGGGAGGCCGAGAGAACAGCAGAGAGCCTGCTTTTTGACCCTTGTAAGAAGCTGCACTGTATTTTCTGGACATTTCCCTTTTCTTGGCTAAACGTGTTAGGGTAGGTTTCTGATGGCTGCAACCCAAAGTACCTTGCCTGAGACATCGTGTCTGCTGTGGACACAGCGCTGTGTAGTCAGAGAAGGCAGCGGGACAAGGTCACAGTCTGCTCTCGGAAAGTTTACCATCCGGAAACCAGCCAGGCCCAGAGAACACATTTGCTCAGGGCCCTA